AGGGCACCCTGAACGAGGCAGACGGCATCATCATCTCCCGCGGCAACCTCGGGCTCGACTGCCTGCCCGAGAAGATGGTGCGCAGGGGCACACGGCAAGCCGCAGCCAGGCCGTTGCTAACAGCGGCAGCTGGGAAGCGGGAGACCTGCCGAGCAATCAGTCCCTGGACCTCTCGGGACCATCGTCTCTCTTGCGCTGCGAGCCCCGAGCAATGCGTCGCCCGCACGCGCCTTGGCACCCCTTGCACGTCGACCTCAATGCCCAACAGCCCCGACCCCTCTCCTGCCCCCGCCCTCGCTCCGACCAAGCACACTGGTCTCCCATCCCCCTCGATCCAAGAAAAACTTCCTACCCATCCCAATCCCCTGGCTGACACCCAATCCCTTGGCCTTTGACTCGCACCAAACATGTCTGCCACCCTCAACACACGACACACATACACGGATTCACAACACACACACACACACACACACACACTCCACACCCCGGCCCCACCCCCAGGCCCTGATCCAGAAGAGCCTCATCCAGACCTGCAACCTGGTGGGCAAGCCGGTCATCATCACCCGCGTCATGGACTCCATGGCAGTCACACCCAGGCCCACCAGGGCAGAGGCCACCGGTGAGACGCGCGGGCGCCCAGGAGCGGCGCCGCACGCGCAAGGGTTCAGGGCGTGCGGCCAGGGTGTAGGGGCGGACGTCGCGCCCGCCGCCGGGCGGAGGACCGGCATTCGTGCCAGCCGTCGCGTCCGCCTCGGGGCTTCTCCCGGGTTGCGCGGTGCTCTCGCTCCCGTTGGGCGCTCTCCCTCACCATGCGTTGCACCCCCATCCAACCAACGATCAGATGTGGCGAACGCGGTGCTGGACGGCGCTGACGGCATCCTGCTGGGCCAGGAGACTCTCAGGGGGACCTACCCAGTAGAGGTCATCGACATGCTCAGCTCCATCTGCAAGATGGTGCGGCCCGAGGAGATGAGGTCTTCTCGGGATGAGATCCGCTGTATGTACACTGCATACACATTCGGGCGTTGAACCGGGTTGTCTGTTGAAAGGGAGCCTGTCTGATTTGGTTTTTGCACGCGCCCAGGAAGCTCACGGGCTGTGGGTAAGGGCGATGAGTAGTGCATGGCGCAGAGGTGGCATGGGGCGCACCGGCCGGCCGCATGGTGGACCGCGGGAGTGCCAGAGAGAAACAAGGCGTTGGACGAGGCGGGGACGCCCTCCCGGCAGCCGTGTATGCTGCGCTGCCTGCATCGGCCCCGCTGACACCAGCATTCGGTCTGCAACAGCGCCAGCCCAGCCAAATGCTGCACCGCTCTGCGTCTCGGCTCCCCCCGCCAATCTTGCCCTCTCACCGTGTCTGCTGTCAACTTCCCTGCACCCTGCAGCACAGTCACGCCCCGCCTCGTCCTCCCACCCCGGCCCCAGCCCATTCACCCGCACCCCCTTGCCCTGCCCCCACAGGCTGAGAAGGTGTTTGACCACCACTACCACTTTGACCATCTCATGGACACGGCGCAGGCGGTGGGTGGCTGGGGGCCTTGGTTTGACAGCCTCCGTCCCACAGCTGATCCAGAGAGGCTGTGTGATGAGAACGACAGTTTCAGCAATGCCGCCGCTTGCAATCACCTGCAATCTTGTGGGCAGCAGCTGGCGTGCCCTCCGCGGCCGGGCGCGTGGGTCGGGACGGCAGTAATGGCGCAGGCGGCGCTGTGGCGCGCAGCACGTCCACCCGACAGTGCCTCGGCCCCGCAGCCGGCCGCGTGCGCCCATACCCTCTCAAATCGATTCCCGCTCCTTCACGAACTCGCGCCCAGACCCCTCCCTCCCACCCGCGTGCTCACGCGCCCACCCCGGCAGGTGGAGGACTGGGAGCCCCCGGGCACGACGCCGCCCGGCGCCGCCACCCCCGCGGACGGCAGCACCAACGACCTGCCGGGGCTGGGGGGCCAGGACGCCGGCCACACCCAGCACGACAACAACCACCACCAGTCGCGCAAGCAGGGCAACGGTGCGCGGGCACGCGCACCGGCGAGGCCTGTGGCGGGTGC